TGAGGAGGAAAAAGAAACTCGGAGTTTTAGGAGAAAAAACATTCACACTTTCAAAGAAAAAATTATTCCGTTTGAGAACAACACCGACTTTACAGAGAGAATGAAATAATTGCAGGAGGAGGAAAACACAAAAGATAAAGATCAAGAAGTATTATTATTATTATTAATATCGAAATCTTATTCTCCTCGTCATCCCGAGCAATGTCCCATTCACAGCTGTAGCAGAGGTTCTTCCTCTGGATTCATCATATATAAACCTTCAGTTCTGGTCGGAGGGATTCCAGATTTTTCAGTTCCCTTTTAGTTTCATGTGACAAAATAAATGTTCCTGATCCTAGAAGAGAGGATATAAAGCAGCCATCATTAAATGGCAGACCGCGGTCCGGACACCAACCAAGTGACACTCTTGTCTGGACTGTCAGCCCACCAGACTAAAGTGTCCTATCCCCGCTGCTCAGCAGTCATTGGTTGCTGGGACCGTGGACATCCCAGCAGCCAATGACGTCATGTGTGCCCCCTTTGGCTCGGCATCTCTCCTGCTCCTTTTTTGCCCGCAGGATACGATGTGACGTCATGCGGGTGCCTCTCCACCCTCAGCAAGGTTCTCCGCCCCCTGCAGCTTGCTACCTCTTCCGGCTCCCGCTCCCTGTCTGCCCTCTGTGTTTCTGCTTCAATAAAGATTCTCAGAGGCACGTCGATGGGCACATTTCATGGTAAATGGCATTCTGATGGGCACACTTTGTTAGGATGCAGTAAAAGTAATTTGAATGTATTTTTTTTTTTTACTGAAAATATAGCTTTGAAAAACAGTTACCATAATATAATGTAACAAAAATGTGTAACTACCATGTTTATATTCTACAGGTCGTCAGATTTTGCAGATTGTTTTGGGGTCCCTGCAGCAGGGAAGGAGTTAAATTATATCTATATCCAAGAGCAAAACTGTGACATATTGCAGCTTACCAGTCTGTAAGGCTCCATTCACACTTGAGCGTTTTTCAGCGTGAAGTTCGAAGCTCAAAAACGCTCAGGGGGGAAAAGAAAATTAATATTCCTCTATGGAGATGGTTCACATCTCCACTCCAAGTCGCCTGAAGCAGAACGGCTGAAGCTCAAAGAAGTTTTGGAGCTACTTTTGTAACTCAGATTGGGAAGATGTGCACGTCTTTGGCGCGTTTTTATTCCCATAGAAATGTGCGATTGGTGTGTTTTTGCGTGATTTCGCACGTTTTTGTGCGATTACCTGCTCAAATAGAAAAATGGAAACAAAAAAAAGTAAAAATATATGAATAAATAAATGTAAAATAAGTACATATATAAACAAAAAAATCATGAAAAATAAAAAAAACTAAATAACAACCCTTAACCTTAAAAAATATGAAATTAATTATTATTATTAATAATACATTTTTCAGGTGTTTATTGTGTATTTATTTTACATTTATTTATCATCTTTATTATCATTAATAATAATGTATATTTGTTTGGGTTTATGTGTTTATTTTTTATTAAATATTATTACTAATAATAATAAACGCACAAAAATTGCAGTAAAAGCTCTGAAAACCGCTACGCTCAGATTTGAATGAAGCCCAAATGTGGTGGCTGCATTAGTTGAATTTCATTTATTTATGTACCGTGATCCTTCCAGAAATGTTTTGTCTTTCTACTCTTCTTATAAGCAAACAAACAATAGTAATTTCCTTCCAAAGTGTCTGTAAATGATCCTCATCCCCCCCCCCCCCTTAATGAAGTGTGTTAAAGTGGTATTAAAGGTTCAAATTAAAAAAAAGAGAACCCCCAAAAAAGATGTTATACTGCTGTGTGCAATCCATTCCTCCTCTTCTGGGGTCCCCCTTGACCAGTGCCCCCAATAGCAAGCCACTTGGTGCATGCTCGCTCCCGAGACCTGTTCTCTATGTCCATAAGACAGACAGACAGCCGCGGCTTGGCCTTGCCCTCTTTTCATTGGCTCACTGGCTGTGATGGACAGTGGCTCACTCTGCTGTTTCAGCCAATGAGAAGAGGAAGTCCTGGGGACAGGCCAAGGCTCTCATGCACATCATGGATCAAAAGGGGGCTCAGGTGAGTATTAAGGGGGGCTGTGGGGGGGGGAGCAGCACACAAAATGATTTTACCTTCATGCATAAAATGTACTGTATGAAGGTAAAAAACCTTTATCCTTTACAACCACTTTAAGCCTGAAACACATGGGCAGAAAATCAGCTGGTTCAGCCGGTCTGTTGAACGGCATGCTGGAAAGCCAATGGGTGCAAGCCCTGATCAGTGTATTCTGGCTGGAGGGGAGCCCCCCTGTCAGAATACAATGTCACAGCGGGAGAGATCCCTACATCATAGTGTTGATACAGGGATCTGTTTTTTTTTTTTTCTATCCCACTGGTTGAGTGAAAGAAAAAAAAAAAAAAAACCTTCCTGTGGGTACACAGCTTTACTGGCAGGATCAACAGGAGAAGAATGAAGGAAAGGCCTGAAATAAGGAAATACAGTTGTGTCCAAATTATTCAACCCCCAATGCTGTAAAGGGGTTTAGGGACTATAGTGTACATTTGGAATTGTATTCAGAATCAAAATCCTACAAGGACGTTGTAACTACCCAAATGCAACTAAAATGACATCAATTGTTTATGTAATACAGTAGTAAATGGTTCTTATGTGGTTTCTTCATTGCCACAATTATTCAACCCCTTAAAGACTACCACTCTGAAGAACAGAGGTTCATACAGGTGCTTTCCATCAGGTATTGAAAACACCTGTGGATGTCACCGAGCAGCAATCAAGCATAATAAGCACCAATTAGGCAGCTTTAAAATGACTGTGATACTCAGCTCCTTCTAGACATTTACTGGTGTGGTTACAAACATGGTGAAGGCAAGAGAATGGTCCAGGAAGACAAGAGAAGAGGTGATTTCTCTTCACAGGAAGGGCAATGGCTATTAGAAGATTGCAAAGATGTTAAAAAAAAAAAAACATACCAAGAGACACCCTTAGGAAGCATCATTCGCAAATTCAAGGCAAAGGGCACTGTTGAAACGCTACTACCTGGTCGTGGCAGAAAGAAGATGCTGACTTCGACTGCTGTGCGCTACCTGAAGCGTAGAGTGGAGAGAAGTCCCCCGTGTGACTGCTGAGGAACTGAGAAAAGAATTTGTCAGATGTGGGTACAGAAGTTTCAGCCCGAGACAATAAGACGCACACTGCGTAATGAAGGCCTCCGTGCCAGAACTCCCAGGCGTACCCCCTTTAGCTGATCTCCAAAGAATAAGAAGAGTCGACTGCAGTATGCCAAAAGCCATGTGGACAAACCACAAAAGTTGTGGGATAGTGTTCTGTGGACTGATGAAAAACAAAATTAGAACTGTTTGGGCCCATGGATCAACGCTATGTTTGGAGGAGGAAGAAACAAGGCCTATGATGAAAAAGAACACCTTGCCTACTGTGAAGCATGGTGGAGGGTCAATCATGCTTTGGGGCTGTTTTGCTTCTGCAGGTACAGGGAAGCTTCAGCGTGTGCAAGGTACCATGAATTCTCTTCAGTACCAGGAGATATTGGATGGAAACGTGATGCAGTCCGTCACACACCTGAGGCTTGGGAGACGTTGGACCTTTCAACAGGACAATGATCCCAAGCATACCTCCAAGTCCACTAGAGCATGTTGCAGAGGAAAGGCTGGAACATTTTGGAGTGGCCATCGCAGTCACCAGACATAAATCCGATTGAGAACCTCTGGTGGGACTTAAAGAAAGCAGTTGCAGTGCGCAAGCCTAAGAATGTGACTGAACTGGAGGCCTTTGCCCCCATGAAGAATGGGCGAAGATACCCGTAGATCGCTGCAAGACACTTGTGTCAAGCTATGCTTCACGTTTAAAAGCTGTTATAACTGTAAAAGGATGCTGTACTAAGTACTAAGATTGAATGTCACATTGGGGGTTGAATAAAACTGATAATGCTGTGAGCACAGAAAAAGACATTTGTGGTTATTTCATTATAACTGTTATGTTATATTTGTCTGACCTACAAGTGCCTCTTTAATGTAAATGTAAGCAAGATGACTGAATGATCAAAAGCAATGTCAAAACTGGCCAAAACACTCAATTTCAGTGGGGGGTTGAATAATTTTGGACACAACTGTAAATGCCTCCAACACATTTTAGAACTGGTAAGCTGCTAGCAATGTGCACAGGAGCCTCGGCTTTCCGGAGCTCTCCCTCCTCATTGGCTATGACAACAGCAAGAACAATTGGCTCCCACTGCTGTCAATCACAACCAGTGACCCCAAAGAAAAGAGAGAGGGGGAGGAGTTGGACTGTGGCTTTGTGTATGAATATATGCGCAGAGCAGCGGCTTAGGAGTGAGCCTGCTCAGGTGCCCCCCATAGCGAGCTGCGGGAGGAGAGACCAGAGGATAAGAGAGGAGCAAAATGACTGCACACAGCAGGTAAGTATCACATGTTTGTTAGTTTCTTTTTTACAAATTGCCTTTATTGTCACTTTAAAACATATGATCCATACAGGTCCCCATTATATATATCATTCCATCAACTTATCATCATGTGTGTGTCCTATTTATTGCCTACATAAGGTCGTGTTCAATTCTAATTATATATAAAGTTATAAAAAGAACCAATCAACCTTATTTTAATTCAATTCTAATCCTGTGAATAAGGCCCTGAAACCGGAGGAGGCCTTACCCCCCCCCCCCCCCACATGTGTTGGGCCGTATGTGACGCTATTAGTCGTTAAACATTTTAAAAAACACACTTTAAAGTAATACAAATTTTTGTAATAGACGCGTCTCAATGCCTCCAGGGTTCATTCTAATGACATTGGCAAAATTTTTTTATTTGCCGTGCTTCCTCCAACATCTCCAACATCATAATACACTATACTGCCAAAAGTATTGTCTCTGCCCTCCCAATCATGTGATTCAGGTGTTCCAATCCCCTCCATGGACACAGGTGTATACAGTCAAGCCCCTAGGCATGCAGACTGCTTCTACAAACATTGGTGAAAGAATTGGTCGCTCTCAGGAGCTCAGTGACTCCAAGCGTGGTCCCCGTGATAGGTGGCCACCTGTGCAATAAGTCCATCCGGGACATTTCCTGGCTACTAAATATTCCCACGCTCAACTGTTTAGTGGGATTATAACAAAGTGGGAGCAACTGGGAAACAACAGCCACTCAGCCACCAAGTGGTAGGCCACGTCACATGACAGAGTGGGGCTCAGCGCATGCTGAAGCGCACAGTGCGCAGAAGTCACCAACTGTCTGCAGAGTCAATAGCTAAAGACCTCCAAACTTGGTGTGGCCTTCAGATGAGCCCCACAACAGTGGGTGTAGAGAGCTTCATGGAATGGGTTTTCCATGGGTCCGAACAGCTGCATCCAAGCCTTCCATCACCAAGTGCAATGTAAAGCGATCGGATGCCGTGGTGTAAAGTCACGCTGCCACTGGACTCTAGAGCAGTGGAGACGTGTTCTCTCTGGAGTGACCAATCACGCTTCTCCTGCCTGCCAATCTGATGGCCATATCTGGGTTTGGCGGTTTCCCATAAGAACAGTATATGCCTGAGTACAAAAAAGAGCTGCGTGGTCAAGTTGCCAGAAAGAAGCCTTTACTGCACTAATGCTACAATAAAGCCCGGTGAGGAGGCGTGTCAATGTGTTGTCAGGCGTATTGTAACCAGGCTTTTTTTGTGGCATTGGCGCAGTAAAGACTTCTTTTTGGCAACTCGACCATGCAGCTCAGTTTTGTTCTTATATTGTCTATGGTCACTGTTTTTAATGCACTAATTTTTTTTCTAGATCCATTTTTTTTCTCTTTTCATTGTAATTTGCCTGCTATCCTTTCTGCAAGACAGGCACTGAAATGAGGAAGGAAATTTTACTTTATATCACTATATATACCGAATTCTTCCACATTGTATAGTTTGCCGGAACGTCCTGCATACAAGAAAAATATTCCTGATTACAGTGTTTGGTGAGTTCAATTATCTGATGGAAAAATGTCTGCAGTGATTGTCTCTGCGCTGTTTGGGCCAGCATAGAGGTGTCAGGAAGATTTCAATGGAAACCTCTCCCAGAATATGATTGTCTCAGTCAGTCCTGTTATAACCTCACTGTAATTCCTCTATCCGGCTTGTTGTCAGAGCCGCCATCAGATCCCCGAAATGAGGACCCTCCAGATTGTTCCCAGACAGGTTCAGTGTCCTCAGTGTATGGGGTTATTTCTTATTCCAGATGCCAGGTGGGGGCAGGAACTGTCTGTCAGGTGATTACCAACCAATCTGTAGAAGAAAGAACGAATGTTACCAGAAGGAAATGAATCCCCCCCCCCCCCCAGGAATGAATGGAAACTATTCTCTACATGGATGGAACTCATTTCTCTTTATTGGAATCATTTATATTCCATCACTTTATAAATCTCCAGGAAATAGAATTTTATAGGACAAATGTTATAATGGAGTAGTACCCCCCAATATTGTCCTCCATGTGTAGAGACGGTGATATCTCCATACACAGGATGAGCACAGAATACCACTGACATGACTCGTATTGTGCTATCATCACCTTGTGTATGGAGCATGAATGGGATCAGCAGACAGTAGTGAGGCCGGAATCCAGCATTGCTAGTGATTGGACGGGAGGATTGTATCTGATATTCTATTTATCTCTGCTGATCAGAGCTCTGTACTCATAGGAAGTCATGGCGGCGCTAGGTAACAAATGTTCAGTAATGGGGAGGATCTTCCGGAACTGAATAGCACGTCAGATGAAGAGAATTTGTTTGATGCTCTGGTATCACTCATTACATTCAAGATCAGATTCTCCCATTATGAGCATCTTTAATGTCATCTATTTATACAGATACCAAAATAAATGTAGAGTGATTACTAAACCCTGGACCCGGATTCATTCACTATTATCCACTCTCCCCGTGACCCCGCAATTCACTATATCCGCTCTCCCGCAGGACCCCGCATTCACTATAGCGCTCTCCCCGGACCCGGCATTCACTATAGCCGCTCTCCCCGGACCCCGCATTCACTATATCCGCTCTCCCCTACGGTCACACGCTGCGCGTATTCACTATATCGCTCTCCCCCGGACCTCGTATTCACTATATCCGCTCTCCCGGACCCTACAATTACTATATACTCAGTTTTCCTCAGACCCTGCATTCACTAAATTTGGTCTCATTGGCCCCTCTTTTAACCATGTCCGGACCCCCGCATTCACCATATCCGCTCTTCCTGGACCCCACTTCACTCTATCCACACTCCTCCCCGAACCCTGCATTCACACCATATCCGCTGTCTTCTGACCCTGAATTCCCCATATCTGCTCTCTCCCGGACCCCGCATTCACTATATCTGCTCTCCCTGGACCCTGCAATCATCACAAAATATGGTCTCCTCGGACCCCCACATTCACTATATTCCGCTCTCCCCAGACCCTGCATTCAAACTATATCTGGTTCTCCCCGGGACCCCGCATTCACTATATCCGGTCTCCCACAGTACACACAACATGGAAATGCAATTTTTTTTTTTTAGTAAATATAAACTGCTAAATACCTTTTTCTCATCAGCAGTATATAGCAGTTTACTTTTATCAGTGTCCGGCCGAGCACCTGGATTAAAGCTTGTAGGAGGGGAGTTTTCTTTCTGCTCTAGGGGATGCAGAACGAACCTTAATATCTCTGTGGTGTTTTATGTTTCTGGACAGCACTGATTGACGTTGCGTTGATCACATGCACCCTCCCCAAGGAGAAAAAAACATCTCTAGCAATACACACTAAACTGAGCATTTGTGCAAAAATACCTACGGTTCAGTCGTCTGTCTTATCGGAAGATAAGAGGCGGTTGCTTGAAAAAGAGGGAGGAACAGAGCAGAAAAGGATCAATAGGCCTTTATACACAATGCAGAGGATTAACCCCTTAGGTTCCTACAGTGAGTATCACAAGCATCTTTACATGCATCTACAGACTGATTGTACTGTTGTGGGTTTAGTAACACTTTAATGGTTACATTCTTATGTCTATAGGGTCACCCATGTTACACATACTTGGATTTTATGCTATTACACTGTTTGTACAACTTCATATCATATTGAGGTACCTACCCAATGTATCCGTCAGTTATGTATCCAATTAGGCAATGGATGTAAAGAAGAGATTTGTAAGCATATCAGACTGTACTGTGTGTGGGGAGCTTTTTAGTAGAGCTACAGACTATACATTATTCTTTTCCTTCCTCTACGGGTGGATAGAAACAGACAATTTGGCTCAATTCCACCCCCATCAACACAGTCAGAAAATGTGATGTGGGGGAATCAACTACACTCCTGCTAACACAACTGTGTTTTCTCGCCAACAGAAAGCCTTCCCTGCCAGCATAACACTGAGCCACTGTTAGCTGCTATTAGACCATCTCCAGCCTACAGTGATCGAGATGCAAAAACAGGTCCCAGCAGAGATGGTTGTACTGAATGTGACTGACGTGGTCTACCTTCAGTTCAATCAGCCTGTCCATAGATGGTCAGATTCTCGGCTAGGTCCTTACTCAAACCTGTCCATATTTGAATCCTACTTTATGGCGCAGATGTTAGAAAAAAGTCAAAATTTATATTGCTGATAACAGAGTTAGAGAAGATTTCGAAGAATTAGAGACAAGGAATGTTATAATCTGTCCCACGAATATGTTTGTCTCAGTCAGTCCTGTTTTTATACTGCACTCGTTAATCCCTCTATCCGGCCTTGTTGTCAGTGCCGGGCCATCAGATCCCTGAAATGAGGACCCCCCCAGATTTGTTCCTAGAGAGGTATCCAGGTGTCCTCAGTGTCGGGTTATTTCTTATTCCAGATGCCAGGTGGGGGCAGGAAAACAGTCTGTAAGGGTGATTAATGCGAGTCAATCTGTAGAAGAAGAGAAAGAATGTTACCAGAATGAAATTAATCCCCCACCCCCCCCCCCCCGCGCCCCAGGAATGAATTGGAACTATTCTCTACATGTGATGGAAACTCATTTTCTCGTTGTTATGAATCATTTAATTATCGATCACATTTATAAATTCCAGTAAATAGCAATTTTATAAGACAAATGTTATAATGGAGTAGAGCCCCCCAATATTGTCCTCCATGTGTACAGACGGTGATATCTCCATACACAGGAATGAGCACAGAATACCACTTGACATGACTCGTTATTGTGCCTATCATCTCCTTGGTGTATGGAGCATGAATGGGATCAAGCAATACAGTGTGAGGCCGGAATTCAGCATTGCAAGGATTGGACGGGAGGATTGTAATCTGATATTCTAATTTATCTCTTCTGATCAAGATCACTGTACCTCATTGGAACGTCATTGGCGCTAGGTAACAAATGTTCAGTAATGGGTAGATGATTCCGGAACTGATAAGAACGCCAATGAAAATTTGTTTGATGCTCTGGAGTCACTCATTACTTAAGATCAGATTCTCCCCATGTATGAGCATCTTTAAATGTCATCTATTTATACAGAGAACCAAACTAAATGTAGAGTGTTAATAAACAACCGCCGACCCCGCATCACAATAGTCCGCTTTCCCTGGACCCCTGCATTCAACTATAATCCCTCTCCCCCCGGACCCCGCATCTCACTATAATCGGCGGTCACCCCCCGGACCCTGCATTCACTAAATCGCACTCCCTCCCCGGACCCCGCATTCACTATAATCCTCTGTCCCCCCCGGACCCTGCATTCACAATGTCCGCTCTCCCCGGACCCCCGCATTCACAATATCCACTCTCATCCCCCCCCCCCTGGACCTCATTCATTATATCCGCTCTCCCTGGACCCCGCATTCACTATATCACCACTTCTCCCCCCGGACCCTGCATATCCACTATGTCCGCTCATCACCCGGACCCCCCGGCCAATCACTATATCCACTCTCCTCCGGAACCCCGCATGTTCACTAAATCCACCACTCTCTGCTCCGGACCCTAGGCATTTCACTATATCCGCTCTCCCCGGACCCTGCATTCCACTATATAAACATATAAATGCTGCTCTACTTTCGAAAATAATTTAAGTTAATGTGGATTTCAATATTCTCTCAAATTAAAAATAATAACAATAATAAATTAAAATTTAAAAAAAAATGGGCAAGAGGATTTACCAAAAATAACTGACAAAACACAAACTTTAAATCCATACGCATGTGGACCAAAAAAAAATGTCACATACATATATTAAATCAACACACACGTGCAACTATGTGAAGTGGAATGAAAACTATATAATAAACCGCAACACTCAAAGTCCATTAATGGCATATTAAAAGTGAAAAAAAGGTCCAATAATGGAATATTAGAGTGAAAAAAACTGTAAACTGTGTTTCCCAATAATTATGTGTAAAGTGACCACAGGTGAAAACAAATCTGTGGATTCAGCTGTTAACACGCCAAACAAACACAG